TCACAATAGATAATATTTATAAGCTTTTAAATTGATTATTTTGATTCCATTTCAGTCTTTCATCTATAAAATTGAAGAAATATTTTACAGATGTGCAAAACCAAAACTCTCTGAAGTCTGCAAAGCACCTTGTTTTGAGATAACTCTACAAATTAAAATATGGAAACAGTTCAGCCTTCCTGAAGGACTGGGATGTACACAGCAGATAATAAGGCAACAGGCTACAGAGTGAATGATGAGTACATAAAGTAGGTTATAAGAGTGGTCAGCTGGCATTTCACATGCACTGGATGAGGCACTGAACTGGGGCTGCAAGGGTAGAAGTGGTGCAGTTAAAGGCCCAGCTCCTCTATCTGCTATTTCCTTATAGGACTCCCTTATTTTGCAGCCTAGGGTTTTCTGACACTGTTCCTCTAAAATGCATTGCATGTCTACACATACACACTGCTACAAAAACCAGAGCGCTTCAAATCAAGCCACAGCAATAAAATGAAAAATGTAATAATTTACTCATATAAAAAGAATGTGAGATCTCTGATTACTTACACTTAAAACTGATACAATTTCTAAAGGCCATAAAATTAACTTTTTCTAGAATTTTTTTATGACTTCAACATGATAACTGGTCTTGGATATTTACATTTTTTTCAAGTTATTTGTGTAGACCACGTAATCACCTTAAAACACAGTATTAACAACCATATTCAACCGGATTGGAATCCCTTTTAGTTTCCACATACAATCATATTCAATCTGACTGGAATCCCTTTTAGTTTCCACATACAGCTGGGCCAAAATCCTTTCTTCCCTGCCTTTTGCTAGGGAGATTTTTCCATGGTTAACAGTAGGGACAGGAAGTGAAACACAACACAGGTCCCACACAATCTCCTCAAATGCCATTTCCTTACTCATGGGGTGTCATACATGTCAATGTAAAGCACTTCTTTTGCACCTTTTGGGGGTCAGGATCAGCTACTAAAAAGTATGTTTGCAATACAAAGAAAATAAAAATACAAATGTAGATTAATTATATTAAGGACTTTGCAATTGTTAAACATTTGTTTTCTTAATTTCAAGAATACTTCCTTTTTTATTATTAAAAGGGATCATTATTGTACAGAGTTACTAGCAACAATACACAGGTATAACCAATTTCAAACACTTCCTTGCAGATATCTCTCTGCAACTGAGTGTTCATTATTGCTGACGTTTCAAAATCAGAAGCTAATTGAACCTGAACTATTTCTAATAAAAGCAAATGAAAAACAAGATCAAAAATAAATGGTATGATACTGAAATGGCCATTGTTTCAAATGTTAAATATTCTTAGTGTCTTGTGATACTAAATAGCCACCCTAATGCCTGATGACCCACCTCACACCTACCAGTCAACGAATTCTATCATATCACTACTCATATTTTTCTGATTAAGTATGCCCATAGTTGTTATCCAAATTACACACATTCATTAATGTTAGGCACTCCTCTAACATACTTTCTAGAAATGATAAAGCTGTGAATTTGAAGATGATTTCTTTCTTAGGTCTAGATATTCAGGATAAAAGTACATATTTTTCTCTCTAGTTACAGCAATTCTCCAGAAACTTCATATGTCTTATGTAATTTTTATGAAATATTAATATAAATGTGGTATAATCAGTTTAAGATTTTGTAATATAATAGACATGAAAGTCCAGTTGCCACTGAACATATAAAAATAGAAATAGGATCTCTAGCTTAAATCAATCCATATTTTTCACCTAGTATCCTCCAAAATATAGTTTATTTATATTGAAGAGGACCATATATATGAAACACTCTAGGACTAAAGTTATATTACCATAATAATCACACTAACACAACAACAGAAACAAACAAAAAGCTACTCTCCTAAGGAAATTACTATCTATGGCCTTGATTCTGCAAGAAGAGTTGTATGAACATTCATGTATGCTGAGTCTCAAGCATGAGGTTTCATGGGGTATCTGCGCTCTTATGTAGAACAACGATTTTCAAAAGGGCTTAGGTATATCATTTTGCTTCTCTGATCCATCTGCTGCTTCTAAGCCAAAACTTAAACGTTGCAAGTTTAAAAAAAAAAAAAATTACTATTTTACTAGCAAGCCTGTTTCTATGTTTTGATTTTTAAAAAGTATAAAACCAGCTTGAATCAACAGCAAAAGATTTCAGGAAGAGATTTTTGTTGGAATAACCTTAGGTAAAATGTTCAAGAAATTGAGAGGAAAAAAACAACCTGCACAAAGGAAGTAAATTCAGAATGCACAAATCAAGCAAAAGTACAAAATGAAATGTAGAAAGGAGCATTTTTCTCTTTTTGATAAAATGTTACAACTAACATCTTGAGAATAATAAATTTTTTATTTCTATAAAATCAATAAAATAAATACATTGTCCTTAAGCAGATAGTTGTTGTGATTAACACTGGAACAGCAGCAGCTCCTAACATGAGGGAAAAAGTAGTATGAAAGTGCCACAGGCCTGCTTCACGTATGCACACACACACTCTCAAATATGCTAAAACATGCAACTCAAAAGAAAAATAGGTTTTCTTATAAATATTTCAACTTTAAATATTTCTGTAAAACTATATAAACTGATCAGGCAACTAATTCAAGATTAACCACATACAGCTTATAAGAACAAACCCAAAAAACTAATTACAAACAAAAACAGACATCTTGTATTTCCCTTTATAAATACAAGTATTTTTCAACCCAGAAAAGTGCACCGTTCCGATTAAAAAAAAAAAAAAAAGGAAGAAAAAAAAAAAAAAAAAAAGGGTGCTGTAAACACAACCGCACAACCCTGGCAAGATAAACTTGACAGGAACTGTGTAACTACAGTAGCTCATTTCCTGCTCATATCGAGAATATTTAAAGCAACTCTTCTTAAATGAAAAATCAGTCAGAAAAGTTCACTAATGTTAGCTTAACAAACACATTCTTAGCACGGCAGCTGTTTGAAACATAGACGCAAGAAACGCTAGGACTGTAATGTCGCTTCCTGATGATGAAAACTACCCAAGAACTACAACTACTTCTGCACAGTCCTTTCTTTCCTGTGAAGCAGAGTTACACTCGGTTTCCACGCACACTACGGGGCAAAAGGAAACAGCAACTCCGCTGTTACACACCGAGGTGGGGACAGTTAGAGACGACTAGTGGCTCCCTCTGCATTTCACAAAGTTTAAAAATAAAAAGCTGCTTTTTTGAACTGTAAATGGTTCCTCTTCACGCACGTAGGCCTGAGGCCCTGTTGCAAACAGTGTCTAACAGGACCAGGCAGCACAAAGACAGGAATGGGAGATTAGTGGGAGGAAGGGAGGCCGGGATTGGGGCTCAGCAGGATCTTCTGGCTTTTTAAAATTCAAACTGCTCCCTGACCAATACAAATCACGGACACGCTACTGACTACTACACGGATTTACAGCATTAAAAACACGCCTTCTACGTGACAGCTATATTAACTTCACCCTTTTAAACATGTATCAGGGCACACAGGGAGGCACGATAGCAGAGTTTCATTTACAAGACTCTGAACACAATGCACCAGAAAGTTACTCTATTAGATATAGTAACCACATCTTATAACAGCGAATCTACCTGAACAACTAAAAACCCTGCGGAAATTTTAACAAATTATGTAATATCAATAATCGTTTGCCACTAACAAAATTTGTCTCTACAAGGATGAAAACTTTGTATCTTAAAATTTCCTGCAGCTATGTAATTTCTTTTGAAGTATTTTCATTAGTTCACAGGTTGTTTGTTTAAATGTGCCTGAGTTTTTAGCAACACTTACAACTCTACCACTTATAAGGCCAAGATTTACTTTATTGTAAATCAGCTGCTATTTATTTATAAAGACCTGAGACTAATAAACAGTCATTTTCAAAACACAGTTGACCTGTAAAAATGACGCCTATTACATATTCAAACATCATGGACACAAACAGCCAATAACAACCTCGGGATTTCAAAGTGATATAGTCTGACAAGAAAAGATGACACTTTTTAAGCATTCCTCACATTTCACTTAAATAAATTTACATGTGATCCTCAAGTACTTTGGTTAAGATCTCATCTTCACCTTGGTCCCTTAAATGTCATAAACACAGCACTTTAAAAAGGATCCCTTGCCTGTTTTCCGTTTGCTAGAAGCAGAAAATGATATTTCTTCCTTTAACATATATTTCTCTAGCGTATACAGGACACAGACACCAAAATTGTGCGGAGTACCTGATACAATATGCTAGGCTATCTGTATTTCTTAGGTCTGTAGGTGTTCATGTTGTGTCAATCATCCTTCAAACACTATTTTATGCTATAAATATACTAAGTCATTAATATACTAACCAATAATGTTATTTAGAAATGAAACATCTGCAGATTATAAAACCAAAAGCATTTAAACTTTTTAATGTTCAGAACACACTTGGTTAGAAGAATAAGGTAATAGCAAAGACAAGTGGCATTTTTGTTCCTGAGTATTTACATTGTCTCTCCTCCCCTATGCCTCCACTTACTCCTGCCCCACTTCGGAGGCTGTCTGCGCTGGGACCCTCCTTCCTTGCCCTAGGTGAAGTTGTAAATATGGGAAAGGATCAGTGCACCTTTGCGACTAATTGTATTGTTTCCTCCTCCTCCTCCTGCTCTTTTCGGGTTGAGGCCTGTCACTGAGCAGCCGCTTCGCCTTTCTAATCCCCGAGCTGGAGTAAAGGCGCTGGCCGGCGGGCCTGCGCCCTCCGCCGGGCCTGGGCCTCCCGGCAGCCCGGCACAAACCAACCTCCTCCGCCAAACCCGACCGAGCAGGAAGGGGGGCTGCGAAATAAACACCTCCGGTTGCCACTTACTCCCCTCTACCCCCGGATAACAGCTAATCCCCTCTGCTCCCGGCAGTGCTGGGCCGCTGGGCTGAGAGGCCCGGCCCGCTGCTGGAGAGGGCAGGGAGGGGAAGGGGAGACAAGGAGGGGGGATTACCTGAGCAAATCGGCGTCTGAATCCAACGAGAATCCGAGAGAGGGGGAGAGAAATCCGCCCCCCTCCCTCCTCAGAGGAGCCGCCGCCGCCGCTGGGCCGCCGCCGCCGCCGCGGAGCAGGAGGAGGAGGGGAGATAATATAACAACAATAATCCGGGCCGGGAGGGGGGCTGGCTCCTCTTCCGTCTCCTCCTCAGTGCAGCGAACATGTAGAGCCGGGGGGTGTGCGGCCGAGGCAAATCCCTTCCCCCCGAGCCTGCTTCACAACATCAACACAGGTCGGGCCGCGCCGCGCCGAACCGGTTCCGAGCCGCGCTCCGAGCCGGGGAGAGCGGAGGGTGGCCGAGGGGCAGCGCTGCCAAGGGGCCGCCACCGCCGCCGCTCCCTCCGAGAGTGCGAGCGCAGGAGGGCGGGGAGGGGCGGCCTGGGTACGGTGAGTCGGTACCGAGCGGGGGGGCAGAGGGAGAGAAGGGCGAGGAGGAGGAGGGGGAAGGATCCTGTGTGTGTCTCTCTCGCTCCCTCTCAGAACAAAATGCCGACCGGAAGTGCAGCGGCAGGAATGACTCCCTCCACCGGCGCCAAACACCAGCAACCTCCCCCTTCCCTACGCTGCCTCCTCCTCGCCCGATCTCTCCCTCTCTCCACCAGCGCTGCTTCCGCCGCTGCAGCTGGAGTGGCTTCCTTGCCTCGCCTCTCCAGGCAAACCCTCTCCTGCGTAGCTCCTCTCCCTTCCACACCCCTCCGACTGCTGCTCTCTTTTTTCCCCTTTTTTAATTTTCCCCCTCCTCCCTGCCTTTTGATGCACGGAACGGGACCGAAGTTTACGTTTAAGCCTGCGCTGAGGATTTGTGAAGAAGGGATTCTCTTGAAAAAAGAATACACGTTTTGGTGTTTATGTTTTTGTCTTGCCTAAGCACGGTGGAGAGGACGAGGAAGAGGACTGCAAAAGGCTGCCTCGCAGGAGGCAGACCTGGAAAGGGCCCTTAAACTGAGCCCTCAAAGGCGGCAGCCCCTGCAGGTGGGACGCTCGCTGGAGTTGCTGTCGCTGCTCGTGCCCTTTCTCTGTGGATGTGAGAGGCCGCGCCGCAGGAACGGAAACACCCGCTGCTCAAAGCATTGCCGGGGCGAGGGATTTCCAGATGAAAATACGGAACGGGAGTGGCTTTCTAAAACGGGCTTTTTGGACGAGCACTGGGGAAAACACTGATGTTCAGGTGAAATGTCCTTCGCTGGAGGCTGAGGCTCCACCACCATCAGATTTACTGGAAATATTTTAATAGTGTGTTGTGAAGGAGTGTTTGGAGAAAGAGCATGTCCTAATCTGAAAGACTTTCTGGTGTTCCTCTGTACAGGTAAAACTGAATAATCATAGCACAGGAAGAAGCATTTATATCCCATGAATTAACTATGTCTTTTAGTACTCACTCAATGTCGTTTGCTGCTCAGTACTTGGACAAAAATCCTTTCATTTCTAGAAGAAGCACTGCTTGTCTGTCGACTCCAGGAATCAGCTGGACACAGCTGTAAATACCCTGTGACATATAAACAAACCCTTTCAGCGCTGGATAAATGTTATTTGCACAAAGGGATAAAATCTTACACCAGTGCACCTGATCTCTCCAATGCTTAGGATTTTTTGAATAGTGCTCTGTCTTTAATACAAATTTCCAATGCCTCTCTTATGCTTAAACTACTACAAAATTCGTAATTTTGGATAAATCAAAGTTTGGTTTATAAGTGTATGTGTTTTTGTTTAAAAGTACAGAAGTGAAGACGGCACTGGAAAACACAGTAATTCAGTGATGGAAATACTATTATTCTAATGGCACATATTAACAGACAGAGTAAGCTGAGTTCTGAAAAAATGTATTACAGACCTTTGTTCCAAGTTAATACAGAAGGTCCCAATCCTATAATCGTTTATGCATTTATAACTTGAAGTTATCAATTTGAAATAAAGGTAAATAATTGGTGTTGCAAATGAAGAGTGTCCTTAAGTCTTTGCACTTAATTTAATACATTGCAACTCTGTAACTCAAGGGGAGAACTATTTACATTCTTTTGGAAATAAAATATAATTTAAGGAACTACCTATCTGGAGTTCACATAGCATATATATGTATACTTATACATCTATGAATTTTCAGGAAAATGTAATTCTAAAATTACAAAGCTCAGGAATACTATTTCAATCTACTTCTAAGTGATTGTTACCAATTTATGTTGATGGAGTCTTTCTGTGATTTTAGTAATCTATTTAAATAATTATTTTTTCTTAGTTGGTGAATTAATATGTAAATAAAACAGAGAACATTAAAACTTTAATTTTCAAATGCCAGATATGGTTTTTTTATGTTTTATAGTACCTATTTGATTATGGTTTCAATGAGAATATCACTAGACTATTCAATGCTTTTAAAATACTGTTCAACTAAAAGAACTTGTAGAAATGGCTGTTTTACTTGAGTACTATGCTGTATTAGCTGCACGAGAGAGCAACTAATTTAAACCATTAGTTCTTTTAGAAGGTGGTGTGTAACACCAATGGGCAGAACTCAGGATTTTATTTTCCTTAAAGGAAATTAAATATTTTTATTCCACTTTTTAAAATGAAAGATCGAGTTCTTTGACTGCATTCAGACAAGTGTTCCTTGTATTCTGTTTCAAAAGCTCACTCACAACAGTCCATTGCAGAATTGGATGTTCACTATATTCCTAAAAGCACTTTAGTATGCACAGGGTTCATGTCATTATGCCTGAAATGACCAGAGAAGTTATAAATCATGTATTTCAGATAACCTGATAACTACTGCCTGAAAAGCCTTTAAACCTTATTTCTGTTCCAGGTCTTAGTCATGGGGTGGGGATAGCCCTAATCTGTATGGGAGGAGCTATGCAGCTATGCAACCATGAGTGTAGCACACTAAGGAGCATACACTGCATGAACAAAGCTGGTCACAGTGTGGAGAAGGGCAGAGGTCTCTCAATTCCTCTGATAAATCCACACCTATGTAGTCCAGAAAATGAACTGCAAGTTTCAGGATAAAGGTTTAGAACCTGGTCCTGCTCCCTTTGATGTCAAAAGATGCATTTGCCCAAAAAAAATGACTGCGTTCCCATAAATTTAAGCTATTTATCCAGTCTGTTATTCTCAGACTCGTTTTTTGTTCTTCAAAGTAAGTCTTAATTCAAAAGGAAGGAAGGATCTTCATGGAGAAAGTACTCAACCAATTTTCACAAAATATATGGAAAGCTGTAAGTATGTCTCTTGCTGCTGTTTACAACTGCTGTTGCTGTGTACTGTGATAAGCATTATAAATGCAAAGATAGTATTGCTGAAAGTAGAGAAGGGACCTCTTTTGCCCTCTTCACTGTGATGCTAACTTCCCTGACTGCTACATGTTGTTATTCAGCTTCATAAATTATGAACAGCATGTAATAGTGTACTAAAAATACACCTGGCACCAATGTTTTCTTAGATATGATTGTTGTAACTTGATTTTATTTTTTCTGTAGAATTAATGAAAAATGCATTGGTTTTTACCATTTTTGTGTCTTTAAGGGTTGGTATAACATTCAAGTACCTGTCATTTTAAGTTGTTTACCTGTCATTTTAAATTGTTATGTGATGCACAAACACTGTGCATTCTGTTTACCTCCTAGTAATTTACAGGTATGTATATTACCCATATTACAGTATATGTATTTCTAGGTAGATTTTTAAAATAATTAGGACATGTCAGTAAAATAGTTTTTTTTAATTATGACTGTTTATTTTATATACCCTTTCAATAATTGGAAAGAACTTTCCTATAAAAAGTGCTAGCTTGTTATCTCAATACAGTTACACAATCATTAGCTATCATCCTAAATTTAAATACTCTGTTTAGAATCTGGTGTTAAGGCTGGACCACACAATGATTAGGAAGAATTCAGTAATGTATGCTGTATGACAAGTAATACAAAGTTATGTTCTTTGCATTGCCTTCAGTTCACAGGAACAAATAATAGCACCATGTAACTAATTGAGTGGGGAACATTCATTGTGGAAAGTAAGCAACCTAAATATGAAACTCAAAGTGGTACAGGTTAAAGAAAAAGCCAAAGAAGCCTGAGGAGTCAAATATTTGTATGGTTACTTGCTTTAAGTTTACAACTTCATGGAGACTACTGATTTTTATTTATTTTCCTTGTAAGCCAGATGGAAGTTATATTTTTTCCTTCTTCTAATTATTTAGCATAATTGACTAACAAGAATTTAATATGAAATTAAATGGTACTTTTTCATTTTAAGTGACAAGCTTGCATTATCTCGACCATGTTAAGAATGAGCTTCTGTTTGTAAACGGTATGAATTCTATGGCAGGCATATATATTAAAATGTACAATAATGTTTCTATGGAGAAAAAATGACAAGACAAAACTCTGGTACTTTCATTTGAATGTTAAAGTAAACTCTTGATTATGCAAAGTACTAGCAATTCTGAATAAAGTTAAAGACAATTAAAACATTTAATTTAGACTATAAAACATACATAATAATAAGACACATTATATAATTTAAAAAAGGCCAATGATAGACTGCTGGACAAGTAGACTGTCCCAGAATTGTTATAACAGGGCCTTAAAAACAAACCTAACAGCAGCTGATTTTTTAGGCAAGATAAATGATCAGTTACACATTGACAATGATATTCTTTAGGCTCTTTTCTCACCATTGCTGAACTTCAGAAGGGAAGCAGTATCATTCCTGATACCTGCTCCTGTAATTTTTGTGGTGGTAGGTTTTTGGGTTTGTTTGTTTGTTTGTTTTTTTTGGTGTTGTTGTTGTTTTGTTGCTTTTAGTGGGGTTTTTTTGTGGGGGGGGGGGGGGGTCGATTGTTTTTTTATTCTTAATTTGAGCATTATATAACTCTATCCTGTCAATTGTCTTGGTTTGTCTAGGCACTGGGAGGACAACTTACTGTCATGTTAGCCACATAAGAAATACTGTTAAATTTCCTACAAGACTGTTGTTGAGTCCCACTATGGAAAACTTTAAGACAGAAATATAAAAACATTCAGGCTTTTTTTTTCCTTTCCCCCCTTTTTAAGAAGTAAATCTAAATCAATACAGAACTTCACAAGCCAGCAAA